GGGGCGGCGGGGGCGAGGCGCAGCGCAAGGCAGCCACGCAACGGGGTGGCCGGTCGGTCAGCGGGAGCGGCCACGAGCGGGCTGGTCGCGGGCGCCCGGGCACCGCAGGTCTCCGCCCCCGCCCTCCCCCTCCCGCCGCCGCCGCCGCCCTCCCCCGCCTCCCCCCCCCAGATCGCACCAGTTTACAGCGAGGCCTGGCGGGTCAGGCACGTCCGCCACCCAGTGGTCTCCACCCACGGGGGCTGCCCTAGCAAAGGCCACACAGGGGTGCCAAACAACAGAAATAAGATTCTCTCCCGGTTCTGGGGGCCTGAAATCCAAAACCAGCATCACTAACTAGTCCAGAGTCAAACTGTACACATGGCTGCGCTTCAGGGAGAAGTCGGTCCCTGCCTCTTCCAGCCTCTGGGGCTGCCCGCCTTCTTTGGTTGGTGGCCACATCACTCAGTCTCCAAGGCCAGCGTCTTCATCTGGCTCTCTGCTCCATCTTCACGTGGCCTTCTCCTGTGTGTGTCCAGTGTCGGATCTCCCTCCACCTTCCTCTTATACTAGATACATGTGACTGCATTTAGGGCCCACCCGGATAATCCAGGATAATCTCCCACCTCGAGATCCTTAATCCCATCGGCAATGACCCTTTCTCCAAATAAGGTCACATTCATAAGTTCCAGGGACTGGAACCTGGCTATCTTTGGGGGCCATCATTCAGCCCACTGCAGACCCTGTCAGATTCAGAGGCCCTCCCCCTTAATTCACTCTAACCTGCTCTGGATTCTAGAAAAATCACAGGAGATTCAGGAAGGTGATGGGATGTGGGAGAGAGCCCTGTTTGGGGAGACCAGAGTTAGACCTCCTCCCTCACCTGCAACCACGTGACCTTGAATTCGGCACTTAGCCTGAGTCTTCACTTCCCCATCCATCAAGTGAAGGTCAGGGGCCTACCACGTAGGGTGCTGTGAGGACCAGGAGCCCCGCGTGTGGGGTGACCGATAGGTCAACAGGAAGTGTCCTAGGAGCGTCACTCAGCCAATAAAGAGGAATGAAGCCCTGACACACATTACAACAGGGAGGAGCCTTGAAAACATGTTAAGTGACAGAAACCCAACACAAAAGGCCACATACTGTATGAGTCCATTTATATGAAGTGTCCAGAACAGGGAACACTGCAGAGACATGAAGTTCATCAGTGGCTGCGAGGGGCTGGGGGTGCTGGGGGGTTACAGTTATCATTGGTAGCTATCAGTTTTAGAGGTGATAAAAAATGTTGTAAAATTGACTGTGGTAATGGTTGCACAGCTCCATGAAGATACCAAAACCCAATGAAATGTACACGTTCCATGGGCGAACTGTATGCACAGGAATTACATCTCAATACATCTGTTTTAAAAAAAAATAAGAAAGAAAGGGACTCGGGGAGTTTATAGAGCAGATTCCCGCTGGATTTCCTCCAGCCTGAGATGACCACCCGAGTCTCTGGGCCATGCCTGAGGGCAAGAGGGGAAATTCCAGCTCGAGCTCTCGGCGGGGTTTAACACATCCACCTGCCACACCACGCTTATCCTGTGGTCTGTGATTTCCAGTCAAGATCCAGACAGACGGGCGAATCTTCCCTTCAGACAGGCTCTGCCTGCGGAAATGCAGAACAGCCAGACATATTAAAGCAGCAGCTGATTACCCACAATGCAGCGTCCGGGCGCAATGATTTAATGCAGCCTTGAAGGGCGTAATTAGGAGTTAGGCAGACAGCCGCCTTCCCGGCTGGGGAGAGAAAGGATGGTACCCATGCTTTGCTGGTGGAGATGCTCCCAGGAATCGTGGGCCATGTTTGGGAGGAAGGTGATGAGCCTTTTCAGTTTCATTAGTGAATCCTGGTGGGAAAGATTCGTGGAGCCTTACTCAGCTGCAGGCACTAGAGGTCAATCTCGTAGAGAAACGAAATGAAGGTTCCGGAACACTCAGGGTAGTGAGGGCCCGTCCAGACCCGAACTGGAGGTTGGCCCTTTTTTCTTTTTCCTGTAAACTAAATGTATTTGGAATAAGACAGGTTATAAATAACATACATATGTCTGGTTCTTAAAGAAAAATATAACTTTAATAAGGAAACTCAACCAGGGTAGGAGTACTCTGCAGACAGTGGTGATCCCCAGTGACGATCTGCTGTTCCTCTGGGAGCAGAACAGCGCACCCAGGAGGTGGACACATCTCCGTCAGCATCCTCACTTCCGCTCCCCCACCTGGTTGAGCCCATCCAGCCCCGCATCCTGGCGGCCCCACTTCCTAAATCTCTGGCCTCCACTATTCCACCTGCACCCACATCCTTGGCCTAGCTGTGCTCCCGGGACAACCCAAACTAAGGCAGCTTTTTAACAGAGCTGTCAGCAAACTTTTCCTGTAAAAGGTCAGAGTAAGTAAATACATCTGGCATCGAGGCTCTGTGGTGTCTGCTGCAGCTGCTCACCGCTCAAAAGCAGCCTTCGCCAGTAGAGAAGCTCCTGGGCGAGGCCGTGCGCCAGTAAAGCTTTATGGACATAAACAGCCAGTGGGCCGGACGTGGCCCACAGCGTATCTCGCTGACCCCCGCTCTGGTTTACCCAGCCCCTCTGCCCTCTTCTGAGAGTGTCTCCGCACAGCAGGCAGAGGCTGATCTTTGCAAAAGGCAAGTCCGACCCTTGCACTCCCCAGCTCAAAGCTCTTCCATGGCTCCTGTCGACCCTGGATAGAACGCGCACCCCTTGCCTTGGCCTACAGCCCTTTCTGCCTGACTCTCTGGCTTGATCTCAGGCCACTCTGGGTCTCCTGGGACATGCTTCCTGCCTTTCACACGTCTTCCTGCTTCTCAGTCCCTCCAGATGCCCCCCACCCTGTGTCCAACCCTACCCACCCTTCAGATCTCAGCTGAATGTCCCCTCTCCAGAGAGGGGGCCTCCGACACCCCCCAACCACATCAACTCCCATCACCACGTTCCCAGCACCCGTGCCCCCTTTTCACGCTCTTCACACTGGTGCTTCTACTGTGTGCTGGGGGGTCCAGTGCGGCCTAGCCTGATGGGAAGGCACAGCGTCTGCCTTGTTTCCATTATACCCCCAGCACCTGGCACAAAACAGGAACTCGATAAACACATGGTAGATGAAAGAATAAAAGGACGAAAGCACAAGAAAATCATAAGTTCTGTATGATAGAATTTTGAAAATGATACAATTACATGCTTTTGACACCAAAGATGAGTTGAAAATGCCAATTAGGAGCAGGTCGAGGGGATGTTGCCTCAGACAGCTTTGCAAGCTCATGAGGATATGCTGAACCAAAGAATCACGTCAATGGAAAGTGTGTTTGTTGAATAAACGAATTTCCTCGCAGAGTGACCCAGACCATGAACACTCCAAGTTCAGAGAAAAGAGAAGGAAGTGTGGGCTGGAGAATCACTGGGATCCCTTCTCATACACAGCACAGAGCCCAGACTGGGTGGACACAGGTAGGAACTGCACCAGACCATCTTGTTTAACTCAGGCCAGGGGTGTGGGGGCGTGAGGACTGGGCGGGTGGGCAATGAGGCTAGGCAGGTCCATAAAGTCAAGGGGCTCCAATGCCATGCTAAAGTCTGGACGTCCTTCTATACATAATGGGGAGCCATTGAATGTTCCTGAGTAGTGGCATGCCACAGAAATAGCTCTGTTCCTAGAAAACAACTCTGAAAGCAATGAGATATATAGGCTGGGAAGGTCAGGGGTGGAGGAGACGGGGAGGCCTGGGTGGTGGTCCAAGGGTAGATAAGGAGGGTCTGGAGACTAGGACACAGGAGGTGAGGGCAGCAGGGTGAGAGGTGTAGGGGAGAAAGAGTAGGGATGGGGACGTGGGAGGTGGCCCTGCAGGAGAGCTCTGACTCTGAGGATGTCGGGGAAGCCTCACTTCATGTCTCATGGACACTGGGATGAAGAACCAGAGGCCAGGGGAGCCTGAGACCTCTTCTTTTCACTCTTAAGGAGTTAAATCCAACTAGAAATTCATGGCTGTGAGCTGCAGGTGGCCTCCCCCGCCTCTGCTTCTTGCTCCATGCAGGTAGGTAGTCAACATAAAATACAGGAGAGCACGTGTTGAGACAGGAAGGCGTGAGTGACTGACACGCAGTCCTGGGAGTGGGAGGAAGGCAGGGCAGGACCTCCACTCCCACCACACCCCACACCCTCCAGGAGGCTTTCCGCCTGCGGCCTCCCTCCTGGGTTAGTGGGAACATGGGGGACAAGCGACTCAGAGTACATTTCTGATCTCATGACCCCTTCCTCCATCCAAGGGTCAGGGGCTCTTGACAAATGACCCCCCCCAGAAAAGCACAGCCCTCACAGGGCAGGGGGTGGCATGCGGTTGGTGCCCCCATCCCATCCCTACACCTGTCCGTGCTGCTCTGAGGCCTCCCCTCCCCCTCCTGTAACTCGAAGCCCATCTATCTCGGTGGCAGCCGCTCAGCAACTCAGCACATCCTTTTCCAACTGTGTGTGCACGTGGCAACAGCATCCACTCAGCAGGCACGCTAATTCCTGTTCTAGAAGCAAAAGGAAATGGGGGGGGCAGAGGGACTGAGCTGAAACCCTACCAGCTCCTTGAGAGGCACCCACGGGTCAGGGGAGTGGGGATGGGCATCCACGCATTGGTCTCAGCCCAGCTCTTGGCCTTGGGATGTAAACTCTGTCGACATAACTGTTCCCAGCACCTGCAGAGCCCTGGGTCCAGAGTGAGCGGGCGGTCAGGAGGCAGGTAGATGGACCCAGCTTTTCAGCATCTCAGAGCAGCCAGCCGCGCGTCAGTGGGTCTTGAACAGCAATAATTCAGTGTGTTTAAGTCGCATCTCCCAGCCCCCCAAGGGAAATGCTGGACTCACATTTTTTCTCAATTTAGGTGAAATTCACATGCATAAAATTAACTATTAAAGTCTACATTTCAGTGGCATTTAGTATACTCACAGTGTGCAAATCATCACCTCTGTCTAGTTCCAGAATATTTTCATCACCCCAGAAGGAAACCCCAGAGCACTTAACAGTCACCCCCTATTCCCCTCGCCTCCCAGCCCCTGGCAACCCCCCATCTGCTCCCACAGACCTGCCTGTTCTGCACATTCCCTTTAAGTGGAATACACACAACTTCCTCCTTTTGCGTCTGGCTTCTTTCTCGGAGCATGTTTCCGAGTCCATCCCTGCTATAGGATGTCATCAGGGTTCATCCCTTTTTATGGCGGAATAATATGGGCTAACGTTTTTGTCCCACCAGTTCCACAGCTACAGCTTTTTCAGCAAGCCTGGGAGCCGCGTGCACCTCGAGGGTAGGGTGTGCAGGGAAGGGGCCCATCTCAGCTGCAGCCAGACGTCGCCTGTCAGAGGGACCGAGCCCGAGTTGAGACCATCACTGCCCGGCTCTGCGAGGTCCCGGCAAGACCCTGCCCTGCAGACCCTGCCCTGAGCCTGCCGGCTACAGACGTCTCCCAGCTAGAAGGAAGCCCTGAGAACGTGGCTCCCTCATCTGAGCCTGACATCTGCCCCCGGCACCTCAGGCCACCCCACCAGGCCCACATTGGGAGAGGGGACACTGGAAGACCAACAGTGGCCACTCAAGTCACCCGGCCTGAAAACACAGGGGTCTTGCCAAGGGAACCCTTCTACACTGTTGGTGGGAATATAGTTTGGTGCAGCCATTACGGAAAACAGTATGGAGAGTCCTTAAAAAACTGAAAAAAGACTTACCATATGATCCAGCAATCCCACGCCAGGGCATATATCCAGAGGGAGCTTTAATTTGAAAAGATACATGCACCCCAATGTTTGTAGTAGCACTATTTACAATAGCCAAGACATGGAAGCAACCTAAATGTCCATCCACAGATGACTGGATAAAGAAGTTGTGGTATATTTATACAATGGAATACTACTCGGCCATAAAAAAGAATAAAATAATACCATTCACAGCAACATGGCTGGACCTGGAAATCACCATTCTAACTGAAGTTAGCCAGAAACAGAAAGAAAAATACTATATGATATCATCATATGTGGAATGTAAAAAAAGGTAAAAGAAAAAGCTAATAAACTTATCTACAAAACAGAAACAGATTCACAGACAAAGTAAACAACCTTCCGGTTACTGGCAGCAAGCAGGTGGGGAGGGATAAATTGGGAGTTTGAGATTTGCAAATATTAACTAGTATATATAAAATAGATAAACAAGTTTCTTCTGTGTAGCACAGGGAACTATATTCAATATCTTGTAGTAACCTATAATGAAAAAGAACATGAAAAGTAGTATTGAATGTATGCGTATGACTGAAACATGATGCTGTGCACCAGAAACTGACACGCTGTGAACTGACTATACTTCAATTAAAAAAAACAAAAACACATCGGTCTTGCTGAGCTGGAGAAGCAGGGCCTCCTGGAAGCCAGGAAACCTGCAGCCCTGGCCCCAATGTCCACTGTGAAGGACAAAGCAGGTGACTCCCACAAGAACAGGCATGTTGGGCAAGGCCGGGGGTTCAGAACCCGGGGAGAATTCAGAGGGCCTGTGAACTCGAACAGGGAAACATCTCATCTCTTTTCCCATGCCCGCCTCGATCTGACAGTTCCTTCGACTGTGAATGAAGGCTCCCAGTCACAGCCGTGTGGCATTCTCCGCCGCAAAATCACAGATGTTCTCCTATCACACGACACCTTGAAATATCATTTACCCAGGTCATTATTTCTAAATGAAGGTGGTTCTCAGGGCCACCTTATCCAACACAGTGAAAGAAGCACATACAAACACCAAAAGCTAGAAAAGACTACGTATCTATCAATCGATGAACAGACAAAATCCAGCCATAAAAAGGAAAAAACAGTGACACATGCTACAGAATGGATGAACCTCGAAAGCATCATACTGAGTGGAAAAAACCGGCCACAAAAGACCATACGGTGTATGAGCCCATTTTTATAAAATATTCCAAATAGATAAATCCATAGAGAAAGAACACAGATCCGTGGTTGCCAGCAGGGAGCGGG